GGGGATTCACTTAATTGTTAAATATGAGTTGCTGGGTATCTATATTTACTTGTAATTCTATATTTCTTGAAGAAAATTGTAATGGTGACGAAGATTTTATTACCAGTTCCCTTTAGTTCTTTTTTGTTTATTTCTTAAATTTTAGGGTGGCACGGTAAATTCAGTTGTTAGCTGGACCAGTTTTCATTCTATCAGAAGCAAATCATAATTAGTGCTTACAATTAATAATTTGAGTTATGTTAGTCGGAAGTTTGCTTCGTATTGCCTTCTTCTTTATCATCTTAATTGTTTCGATCATCATTTGGCTCAGTAATATAATTTTCCAGCATCTCAAACTCCATCTTCGTGCTCAGCCCAATGTTTCCGACATCACTTTGGCTAGTGTCGACTTGATATGATATCCGACTCTTGGATCGATCATCTATATCACTTAATATTTCATCAATTTTCTTGCTACTAGCCATCCTGTCATATTGAAACTTTTCAAACATTTTCACCAACGATGAATTACTCTCTGGTTCAAGCGCTGATTGCGAGCCTCTATATTGAATTGAGATTCATCATGCTCATATGATCGATAATATTGTAGATTTTCGTAGAACTATTTTCAACGACCACCCCAATCATAATGGTCCTATCTAAATTTGAATGTGCTCATTTGTCTTGTCGATATCAATCTCTCTCGGTAGTTCTACATGCACCATACCTCTAAACAAAAGTAGGTAATCAATGATAATGTGTTCTATGGTATAACAAAAATTGCATAGTCTTCTTGAAATTTGACGAACAATCATAATGGATCCCGACGAAAAACTTCCAACGCTCATGTCAGTATTTACTCATGAAAATAAACTGGAAAAGATATGTGCTGAATATATGAATTTGCATAGTCATTAATATAAAACTATGTTACCATTATATAGTTTGGGTATCTTGGTGACTAAGAGAGTCCTTGTCGGAAAAAAGACTAAATTGGATCTACTTATCGAGCTTACCACGTCTCTATCTAGGTAAGTCTCCTTAGCAAGATACATTTTCCATATTAGTATTATTTCCCCTTTACTACATAACCCTCAACACCTTGAGGTCACCTCACATATTCGAGCCCCTGAAGTTCATGACTTCTAGGTTGCCTCATCAGTTCGTTCAAGTTGTATTTATGAGCTCCTTCACTAGGCTGACTTTTTTCATCGAGCTAGAGCTCCATTGAACCATCCCAACCCAAGCTAACCACTTAGGCCGGTTCACCAAGCTATTCTGGTGCTACATCATTTAGCCACCCCCTCCCCCCTCCAATATCAAAGCGAGTTGCCAAGACTTGCATGTAAATGTATGCCTTTATTCATATGAACTTGGTATGCTTTTGCATTTAATGTCATATTGGACAACCCGACATAATGTGAGATACCAAAAAGATGCCTCAACAGCTGAAATCTTCTGTCGCTGCCACGTCGACTGTCCACGTGCATCCGCCCTATCAATCCCAGGCCCACAAAATTCGAGCCCTTGATTTGCACGCTCATCCAATGGTTGAATCAGCTGACCCTTGCTCTTTTCTCAGCTGATAAAATCCCTAGCCTTGCCTCAAAAGATCTTTTAACATTTGTATAAACTTTCAAAGCTTCTGCAAAAAAAATTTCGCATCAAGTTACGACGACTTAAAAATCCTAGAACCTTCTCCCAATTTCAGCGAGTTCTTCAATTCTCTTCATCCACAACCTTTTCGATGGTCACTAATGGGTATGTCCCGATCTTGCCTCTATCATACTTCATTTTTCATCTCTTTTTTTTTGTCAGAGATCTCTTAGCCAAACTCATTCGTCTTAATTTGAAAGACTTTCGACATGTCGTTGTCCCTGGCTACTTGACCTCCTCTTCCCAAGCCCATCTGAACACCATAGTTGATAGTTTCTCAATTATCCAAACAGGAGACAAAGATGTGTTGTAAAGAACGTAGCGGAGGTAGGATTGGCAATTGGTTAGATCTAGTATGGATCATACATGGATAGTAATTGGAGTTGGCGAGTCTCTCAAGGTCCCTCGTCTGAGATCTGTGGAGAATAGGATTAAGTTGGCCCTTGCAAACAACTTGATGTACTATCTCCCTTCAACCCTTTGAGCGAAAGGTAACAAAAGAAAAGGAAGTAAAATCTATAGATCAACCCCATCATTTCCACCCCACAGGAACTATGAGATCACTCCAAGGGCACCGAAGCTAGGCTAAGGTTACTTTCAACCTAGTCACAGTCGTCAGGCCTAACCTTGTAACATTCTGGTCTGAAACTGACCTCAACTACCTTAAACATGAATGCGAGACTCCCCGATCCTGGGAGCTCGGTCGAAGAGTCTTTTTCCCCAGTCCCTCACCCCTATGACATGCACACCTTTTTTCCTGGACCAGGTTTACACTAGTCTTACCTTTCCCCTCAAGAGAGACACCCTAAATCATTTTACCCCCAATTTCATTTAGTTTATGGTTGGATTCTGCATTTTTAGTTGTTGCCTTCTTCACACCCTCGACCCAAACTTTTTCTTCTATTACTATTAGGTGAAACCTTAAAAAGGGTCTGATATGGGATAACAATACCTGGTTGACTAGAAAAGAGAGGCGTTTGAAACAAATCAGGCTGGTCATCAGGTTGAGTAGGGAATGAGGACCCCTCAGGTCGAAAGATCCTCAGGTCGAAGGTGATACTAAAGATGCAAAGAGCACCAACAAGTCGAATAGGTGCCCAAGAGGCATTCGACTCGAAGGAGCACCTGGCCGAGGGATCGACCAGGTGAACAGGATAACAAGACTCGCTAATGGAAGAGCTCTAGCCTCGAGGTAATCACGATCAAGAGCAGGGTTGAACCGTCTTATGAAAGCCAAAGGATAAGAAGAAATCTTAGGGGAAATAAACCCTCACATGGGTAAAACCACGTGGCGCCACCTGAGTGGTCCATGCTCCATAACTGTTTCTCACACCCCGTGTAGCTCTGACAGCCGGGGTAGTGGATGCGTTTGTCATCGAGGCAGCTCACGCGCTCGTCTTCGGCAGCAAGGTATCATTTCCCATATAAAAGGGAGTTAGGCATGCCTTAAGTTACATTACATTCTATATTATACACATTATATTACGGAGAGCTTTTTCTCTCTGCGCTTCATCTTCTACACTTACTCATTTAAGCATCAGAGGTCTTCACCGGAGACCTCCTCTGGTGTGAGATTTGTGCAGGTTCAAGGATGTTCAACCGTCAACTAGCTCGAGATCCAGGCGTTTCTAGCTCGTTCTACCGATCGAAGTTCTTTTTTATACCCGGTTCGTTCTATCTTTCTCGTCGAAACCATGCTCGGTTTCTAACGTATTGGAAATCAAAATACTTCTTCGTTCGACCTTCCCCAAATATTTTTGATTTTTCTCCCGAATGGATTCTTTGAAAACCTGATCAACTCAAGTCTCCCAAACAAAATAAGGCCTATAAAAAGTTAGTAAGTAATAATCACAGTCTAAGATGTGAAACTATTTAACATTTGACCTAATTCAATACTTTAGTTGTATACAGCGTTAAAAGCAATTCATATTGACAAAAAGAGTAGAATCGTCGGCTAATTTGGACAGTTCATGAATCAAGAGTTCTTCTAACACGTGAAAGTATGGGCCATTTTAACTCGCCCAGTTTGAACCTTGGCTAGCCAGCCCACGCACTAGCCGTCCCGTTCGACACTACTACTACCACAATCTACAAAGCTTTGAAGGAGCTTGTTCAATCACAACTCACAACTTTACGTAGTTTGAACATTGATTCGAACCTCGGGCCGGATAAAGCCCAAAATGGGGTCAGATAAAGCCCAAAAAATCCTCCAAAACCGAAACTCCGGATATGGTCGCCCACCAAACGAGTGGCTCGCTTCTTGACCCGAATCATTATCCATCCCCAAACAAGATCACAAGCGAGATAAACCACACACGTTTTCGATTATATCCAAAAATGGCTTCTCCTCAATCTCCCAACACCAGCATCCATGGCCACAACGTTTTCTCTCTCTAGCTCGTCCATCATCCACCTCTGCACAAAACCCACTTCAACAGTAGGCCTCAGGTTCAAAACCAGAGCATCTCTGTCGACCTCTTCTTCATCCATGGCGGCGGCCGCGGCGGAGAAGGTTGTCCCCGCCGTCATAGTCGGTGGGGGTCGGGTCGGAAAAGCCCTGCAGGACATGGGCGGCGTAGATGATGTCCTGGTTAGGAGAGGGGAGCCGGTGCCCCCCGATTTCACGGGCCCCATTTTGGTCTGCACACGAAACGACGATTTGGACGCTGTTCTTGATTCGACGCCTAAATCTCGGTGGAGCGGTACAATCTTGAAATTTTTCTCTTTTCTTAATACAATAAAACATCTTCGACAATGTAGTTGGTTTGAGTGTGCTAGTAGCTTATTATGGGGTTTGCATGAAGTAATTTATTCCAATAGAAGGAGAAAAGCCGAGAAATAAGAAGTTGATAGTGATTGCAAATTAGAAGCCTTAATTTAGAATGTGGGGGTGTTTGAATGTCCTAAGTAGTTGAGTAAATGCAATATGATTGTATTTGCCGATGGAAGCTGAGAACTGATTACCTTCAAGAGAGTTTTTCGAAAACCAAATTCATAAATCTTGTCAAGTAGTGTTTTGTCCAAATGTATTTGAGATTACTGCAGTGAAGGAAAAGAAGTATGATGATTGTAAGCAGAAGCCAGAAGTTATAACAGTTGTTAAGGTTGATTGTTGTTTTAGAAGAAGCCTTAGGTTGAGAATCAGAACTTGACGGTGTTTCCGCAAATCGAAGCTGAGAACTGATTAAGTTAAGAGGATATTGGTGGCTAAGTTGTCAAAATGCTGTATTTGTGCACTTAAAATAAAAAACAGAATTATAAATCCAGAAGAATGATTTACACAGACCAAGATGCAATATTCTTTAGATTACATTTTTTTATAAATTGTGATGCTATATTAACGGTGAATGATTAGCAGATTTGGTGTTTTTCCAGAACGGGATGCTGGAGCCGTGGTTTGAGAGTAAAGGTCTAGGTGAAGCCGATCAAGTATTAGCTTACTTTGCTGTGTCCAAGCTCGGTGAACCTCCCATTGACGGGATTACAGACACTAATCCCGAAGGTTTAACGGCTGCTTATGGAAAGTGGGCAACTGCAGTTGCTGGAAGATTGCGTGCTGGGGGCCTGTCTTGTAAGGTAAATAGAGTGAGTCATGGGGTTTCGTACTTGTTATGTCTATAGATTATTCTATCTGATATTATTTTTTCTAAAATGAACAAAAAAAAAGAGGAAAAAAACTGCTGAAAGTATGACTGCTGCCATTGTTGTTTAACTTCTTGAGGGAATTTAGTTTGCAGATATTTGGGGGCATATTATTGCTTTCCTGAATATAGAGAAAAAGTTGCGTGCAAAACACTCGGGAAAGTTATTACCGACTTTTGGCCTAAAAAAATGCAGTTTTTGGTAGTTATTTTTTCCAGATAATTACTTCTGCTTTTGGTTTTGCAATCTTAATCAGAATTTCAGAGCTGGATGAGGAATGCTATATATTGAGTTGATTGTGTACTCTCCTTAAAAAACTATTTCTGTTGTACAATAAAAATAGGTGCTTGAAAAGGATGCATTTCAGAAGCAAATGCTAGAGAAGCTTATATGGATTTGTGCTTTCATGCTGGTTGGGGCCCGCCATCCTGGTGCAACTGTTGGTGTTGTCGAGAAGGAATACCGTTCTGAGGTAGACAACTTACTTATTTTGGCAACTCTGAAACTTAAAGATTTCTATTTTTTTTATGGTTGAATCTTACACACATTCACAAAAGCGCGCGTGCGAATCTCCTTTAGACGCAATTTCAACACGTCAATTCTCATTTCCCATTTGCTCATGGTTCAACAAATCACTTTCTTTTGGAAGCAAAATTTTTCGCAAACACTTGCATTGGGTCTTTTTGAACAAACTAACTGAGAATGAAGGTAAAGGAATTTGCTAATCGAACAATCGTATGATTTTCAGGTGTCAGCCCTTATAGCTGAAC